TTAGAGCAAGCTCCCAGAGGAAATCGTAATCTCAAACATCAAAAATAAATTTAAACATTTTCTGAATAGGTAGAGCCTGTAATAGTCTTTTTTATGTGATATACAGTGATAAAAAAGCTGAACCTGTGGTATTTATATATTTATTTCATTTTGCAATAACGAGACCGTCATTTTAAAAACGCTAACCGTCTTCTGTACTAACTATATAACAATAAAAATATGGATCCAGATTCTAGAGAGCAAACAGCGGCTTAGTCCTCCTAGTGACGTTTATGGGCCAATGCTCAGAAACTAAAAATAAAATTCCTATTTCTTCAGTACTACGGGGGAGCACTTGCTTATCCTTGCTCCTGATAAACTACGCCTATGAACGAAAGCAAAAAATTGTGGGAAGAGAAATATAGGAAGACCAAGAAAAGACATGGACGAAAGATTAAATAATTTGGATCAAACAAGTTTTAAGGAAATAGAAATGAATGAAAAAGGTGGACAGGCGATGTAGTATAACAAAAGGCGCAAGACAAAGATACAAAAACATAGTTTTAAAAATCTATGGAAAACTGTCTCAAAGGACCCCGCTCAAATCTTATGGAAAAGTGATCTATGTGGGAATTGCCTGAATTTTTAATATTGTATTGAGGAAGCCTTACTGATTAAAAGTTTCCATTGCGCCAAAGTCCAATAACCAATAGTTTCGGAGATACTGGCCAATGAATGTCTCATTCGCTCAAACCTTATGGAAAAGTGATCTATGTGGGAATTACCTGAATTTTTTTTATTGTATAGAGGAAGCCTTACTGATTAAAAGTTACCATTGCGCCAAAGTCCAATAACCAATAGTGTCGGAGAGACTGACCAATGAATGTCTCATTCGCTAAACGATCGTTTTCGTATTTTATTCATTGGATTTTTGTTTCTGTTTTCTACCTTATTTTGAACTATTTTAAAGTTTTTTTTAAGACCGTTATGATAAATAAATAGTTGTCAATAGTGATGTTGAAAAAGTAATTCGGCACTCGAGTATCGTTACTTGAAGATACCCGAAGTAACGATAAAAAACCAAATTATTACATTGATTACTCGTATACTACGGTTCGTAGTGGAAATAAACATAAACAACAATTAAATCAAACAATTAATAAAATAATTTAATAAGGAAAGCCTTGTTACAATTTAACCCATTGGATACCTGTATTGGGGCCGCTATTGCGCTAGCCGGTTGGCAGCGTCAGAAACGCTATGAAGAAGGTTAGACGGAGGGTACCGAATTTCAGGTTCATGTCTTGCATATCCCAAGTACCATATTATGGATGCAATATGACTGCCACAGCCCAGCGTTCTAGCACCCGATTTGCAAGTGCAATAATGTCCAATAATGACATCTTCTTCCTGATCGTTTTCTTCGAGTTCGTTAATAGTTGTATAAGCAATCCATATCTGGTACGTGGTGGCGTTTCGGAATCGTGAGTACACTCTTGCTCGGAGAAATCCTGGTTCTGCATTTAACTGATCTATGTGGAGCTCTTCTATGGCATCCCGCCGCAACTTGTCCTGTATATATGAAGGTGCAAGTTTGATTTGATATATTCCAACAGTAATATCTCGCAGATAGTCTAAATCCAAACGAGGAAAGTCATCCAGGTTAGCCGCATCAATATGTATCCACATCGCATTTCGGTTTCTCAATCTAAATTCATCCACACGAGCCATTACAACATTGACTTCATTCGCCTTGGCCAGCATTTCACGTGCCATGTCTGCGTTGTAGCCTTCCATAGCAATTAATGGGTGGTATTTGTTGATAATAGCTCCCACTATTCGATAGAATTCACCCAGGTATTCAATATGAGAAGTGTGAATAAGCTGTCCGAATAACCTAAAAATGGATTTGATGTGGCCATTTCTGGCATCCACAATCCATCGGGTCTTCGTAACAAGCCAAGCATTACCATTCTCAGTGGAGAGCTGCTGCTGGCCACGTTCAACAACATGGGATATGACGTATTGGGTAATACCCAGAGCCTCTAGCAACGGACCTGCATCTCTGTATTCCCTATCAATGATTAGGTTATCCCCCTCCTGAAACCAGTTGCGCATAATGTCGCCGTCATTGTCCAACTCATTGCGCAATATAGCAGCGTCATTATTTCCGCAAAATAGGGGCCCTGAATGGCCAATATGTAACCATCAGGAGCAACAAGTAGAGCTGGTTTCACAAGGTCGTCCTTTATGAATTGAAAAAGTCTGTCTTAAGACGCGAAAGTTGCTACTCTTTGTAACGTAGGCATAAGTACCATCGATATAGACAATGGCTTTAGGAATATCGGGATTATCATTGCACAAGGTGTTTGTGAACTCGGGAACATGTTGAGCCATGAAATTCTGGTGGCTAATAACCTGGAACCCAATATTGTTGGGAACAAATCGTTGAATTAAAGATTTTCTGACAGTAGCAATAATTGTACTAACATGTTGTCGGCTACCATAATGGAATATAGCTTTTATGAATTCGTCTGATAGTCCCTGCCTCAACTTGCAGAGAAACGCTTAGAGATCCTTTTTTTTAACATAACGGAAACCGCCGTCGGTAGGCACAGTGTCGCAAAACGTATACAATTCATGGAACTGCTTTTTGGTCACCGGTAAAATGCATTGAAAGTCCACATCGGCAATGACATTCTCATTGATGATAGTCAAGCCAGCTTTAGCCAATTGACGCAGTTTTGACAAAAATCTTGCATTTCCTTACCTGGAATGATACAAGGACGAAGTACGGAGCGTAAGCCTGTCAATAGCCTTTGGAAAAGTCGCCCAGTGTCGTTAACATGTAAATTACAACATTTTGTATATGAGGGAATATATATATCAACTTTCACGAATACATCAACTCTTGCGTTAAGTGTTAAGCGACGAGCATCGGGCGAATTGCATATCATACACGTTTGGTAAGCTGTTTGTGTCAAAACGTTTAATCGCATACAGGTTGGATCTTGTTCAAGAACACGCAATTCTCTTACAATCGACTTGTTACAAGCCGCACATGCCCTTGTTTGATCATCTATATCGATCAAGGGTCAGTTTTTGGCAAGACGTCGTTGGATAGCAATGTTTCTCTTATCAATATCATCAAGACGTACCATTAGATTTGGACGAAAAGCAGCTGGACAAATGAAGCAGGGCATGACATCATTATGCGCCATGTTTAGTCTTTGTAAAAAATAATGAACTCTAACTAGTAGATTTAATTGACACTCTTTTACAGAACAAGAAAATTATATAATCTAACTTGACAGAATGACAAAAATCCTAAAAAATATACAAAAACAAATGAGTTGACAACTAGAAATGGAGTTACTTTCGAGTAGGTATTCGTTACTTTCGTATCAAGTAATCATTTCAAATATTCGTTAATTTGATTACTTTGACTATTATGGCATTGCTATGAGTAAAGACGTAGATTATTGTTATTTCCAGTATTCGTTGTTTAAGAAAATTAATTATATTCCGAAACCCTGTGAGGCAAAAACCCGTTTTAAAAATGTTTACTTTATAATTGTATGTGTAAATAGTAAATATACATCGATCACGATGTAACGAAAATATCCGTGTTCGTAAGTATTCGTATTCACTTCCACTTCATCATCCTCCAGGTATTCCCTATCATAGCCAATGCGAATATTCTACACCGCGAACCGTAGTATACGAGTAATAATGTAATCATTTGGTTTTTTGATCGTTACTTCGGTATCTTCAAGTAACGATACTCGAGTACTCGAATGGTTACTTTTTCAACATCACTATTAACATCTAATAATTTTTCATAACAGTCTTAAAAAATACCCTTGGTATAGTTCAAAAGAAGATAGAATACAGAAACTTCCATAGAGTAAAGTGCGAAGCCGACCGTTTAGCGAATGAGACATTCATTGGCCAGTATCTCCGAAACTATTGGTTATTCGACTTTGGCGCAATGGCAACTTTTAATCAGTAAGGCTTCCTCTAAACAATATTAAAAGTTCAGGCAATTCCCACATAGATCACTTTTCCATAAGGTTTGAGCGGGGTTCTTTGTATACCACAAAGATCGGTACATAAATAAAAAGTAGTGGTCCCATATATTTAATTTTTTAGCTTTTCTTCTTGACGCCAGCTTTTTGTTCTTTTTCAAAAATGTCCCAAATAAAATTAAATAAAAACACAAAAACATTACAGCAATACATATTTTTTTAGACCAATAATAACCCATCAAGGAAGATACAGTGTATTGTATAAATACGAAAAAGCACATCCCATACAGATAATAACCTGTACTTTAATTGATTTTGATTTTTTTGTTATATAAACTCAGAATATAGGACTTGTCCTGTTAACCAACTTTACAATCTTTAGGAAAGGTGCAGCTTTGGGATCTTAACATTGTTAATAGAATTATTAACACATTACACATTTAAATTTGATCATTTTCGAAAATTAAAATGTGAATTCCCTAAGGTCCTCAAAATCATATATGTACAGTCTAGTCTGGTCAGTTTGAAATGACAGCTGTATTTCTGCCGTGACATGACAAAGTTGTTTCATGTCATTTTAGTTCCAATTAATAGTCCAAAAATAAATAAAACATTTCTTGACTCACCTCGTATTTGTTATTCGATGATGGGGTTGATACATACAAAACTGTTAGTTTTGCAGGTTACATGGTCGAGTGATTTAAGGGGTAGATAAATGGTTTCTATGCTGTAAAACATATTCCTGACTAATTTAAATGCAATGAGTAACAACTACTAGGGGTTATTTACCTATTTTCTAATTTATCGTAGATTGACAGCTATTTCCGACAATTTGAAAGTACAGTTTACTTATCTGGGATCAAAAATAATACGTTAAACTGCAGAACAATAATTATTTTAAACATTAACCAACAAAGTTACCATGAAAATATGTTTACATATTAATTACCCTGTATCTTTTTAGCAACTAAGTAATTTTATATTTTGTTATAGATGTTCAGGCCTAAATCACTGCAGTTTTATCTTTTCTGAAGACTGTCCTGGATCTGAATTTTTTGGCTCAGGAAATATATCCATTCAGTATGCTTGCATAACAGGTAAGGTTCAGCTAAAACTAAAACATAAATTTATTCCTAATTGTTTTACTTTCTATAAAAAAAAACAAATATTTAAAAATGTATTATACCTAATATCTTCAAATATACTATTTTGTAAATCCTACTACATCGCAATCCATTATAGATACCTTTCGTAAATGGCAACACCGGCGTTGATTCTAAGGATGATTTTGATTAAAATTTTATTTCAAAAGTTCCAACAAAAACATCTCATTACGCAAAGAAATACTAATGACAGTCAAGAGTGCTCTGGAAAATCGATGCACGTAATAACGCCGATGTTTTCATTATCTAGATACCTAGGTACCTATAGGTTAATATTGATTTCAGTAAAAATACCCAAGAGGTGTTATTTATAAAAGGTTGAAGAATAAAATGTATATGGCGTACTAACATTTCAAAAATCAACGCTTGGTTCAGAATTTATATATTTAATGTTTTAGAAATATAGACCCTTCCAAACGTCTATTTTTGAGAACCAAATTTTATCCCTTTTTTAAAGTTATTTTAACTAAACGTGCACCTACTTATTTATGGTCCCTTATTAACCGAATTGTTGACAAACAGACTAATAAACTTAAAAGTTTCTAAATTTAAAACCGTAAATGTCTAAAATAATTTAATTTCAATTGCTCGTTGCTAGACATTGTAATTAAAAAAGCTGCCTTATTGAGTAGACAAACCAACATATTAAACTGTTCCGAAGTGTTTGAAAATTGAAAATCACACGTGACGATGACAGCTTAGCGCGATTACGCCTTACGTAATAGTGAATTTGGTGAATGTAAAGTTAATCGAAATTGTCATCGGTTAAAAGTCTTCAATTCCAAACATGTGACAGATGTTTGCTCTTATTTCCCCATTCACGGGTTTTAAATTGAAGTGGCACTGACAGAGGATCTCAAATATCAAGTACTTTCACAACTTGCGATATCGTAGATTATATAGGGGGATTCAGGATGTGGGTAAAATATTTTCACTGTTTTTTTATACAATGAATCCCTAACTATATGATCTGCCTTTCTTCAAACGTCTTCCCCTCAGAGCTCACAACCTCGTTGAAATATATAGACTTTTCAATACAAAAACCGTTCCACGTCATTGGTCATTAATGACGTTATTTTTTCGTCATAGTACTAGGGTCCGATTACAACTAGAAGAACACATCATTTAGTAACGTAATTAATTGGTTATCGCCGCCTAATGGAAGTTTAGTGGAGTGTTAATATTATAGAAATATAGGCAATATTGTTTTACACCTAACAACTTACTTAATTTTTATTTATTGAAAGTTATGGTTAATATGCATTCGAAATTCGAAGTAATGGTTATGACGTAGTTGTGTTCTTCTCATTGTAATTGGACCCTACCAGCTAATTAAAATTTCCCTAATTAAGCTAATAATTCGACACATATCACGAATATTCATATATTTTTAGTACCTATACAAAGTTAGGTGTAAAAGTTACTTAATTACCACCATAACCCCCTCGTATATATAGAAGTCACATTACAAAAAAAAAACGACAAATGGAATCGTGATTATTTTGATAGTTTTTGTAATTATTTAAATTATGTAAGCTTATAAAGGTTTTATTCTTGATATAAAATTTATAATATTATATATTCTAAAAAATTACGCTTACGATAGCGGTCAGTTACTCGAGCGGCAGATTATTTGAAGTGGTTTACTCTAACTCTTGATTTTGTGTAGCTTCAGATGGAGATGAAAAATTCCAGAGAACACTTTGATTTTAGACTATGTGCACGGAGGGTACAAACAGCAAGCTTTAATGGTCATTTGTCCTAAAGAAGGAATTTTTCAGAGGCTAAAAAATAATGAAAAGTCAGGGACGGACACGGTTTAATAATCGCAATATTATGCCACTTGTTTTAAGTTAATACATTTATTGAATACGAACGCTAAATAATATTCTATTAATACCGGGCGGGAAATAATACTCTATTATGAGTTCCCCACGCCCAAGTAACACCTATGGTACCAGATCCTTTCAGTTTAGGTTTTGCTACGAAGTCTTAGTTCTTGGGGTACACCTTGGTACTTATATTGCTACTTTATTGGGTATGGCTACTTTAATGATTCTTTTAAAGTAACTGTTACTACACTTATACTATTTATTGGAACTGTAAACACTCAAAACTATATAGTACCAGTAAATAAGTTACTGCCACCCACCAATGTCACTAATATGCATAAATAAAATAACTGGGTAAATAGAAAGGCAAAAAAACCCAGAATAATTAAAATAGCATTTGGATAGTTACTGGAACTGGGAACTATCATTTAATTAATAATAATAATATAATAATAATAATAATAATAATACTCTCCCTAATTCACCCCCTTACGAGTGAATTTCAACCCCTGAAGTCGACTGAACGACTTGTGTAGGGGAAGGGACGGCTATTATTATTATTTGCCGTGGCGCTCCGGGGCGACTTAAAGATGATTGATGGTGCCATTTGACTTACAGGTGAGGAAAACCCGGAAAGCCTCACCCATCATCATCGAGACGGTAATGTATGGCGAATTTTTTTAATCTGCATGTCATATCAACAGAAATTGAATTTCTATTAATACGCCACACATCAAATCCTAAACCGAACCATGCAATTTAATTAAAAATCCACATGATCCGGTCTGAGACTCGAAACCCAGCAGTCTCAGACTCATAAACTTGCCTATAAATGAATATAAGCGCTCTACTGGCAAAAACTATATATAGGGTGTCCCAAATAAGAGTGATTGATTTTAAATGTAAATCGCCAGCTTATTAATTGCTCTAAAGAGATGTGGTTTTCACTAATTACTTTCGTTTATCCAAAAGTTTTTTTTCAAGTATGTTCACATTTTATCACATCAATATAGGGTGATCCACTAATGTTGGTCAACTTGAATGGAAAAAATATGTATTATTTTAAATGGAACACCCTGTATATTTTGATGGCATTCAAAAGAGATTCATCTTCTTTTTAAAAATGTATAGTTTAATATCTTTTGTTTTCTTAACAACACAGATTTTCGTGTTTTTAAGTTACACTGCTGTTTTCTTTATTTAAAAACTGACATTAAATAAAATGACCAAAAAGAATTTGTTCAGTAACAAAACATAACAAAAATTTAATAGATTACAAAACAATTATTAATAATGAAGGATGTAAAAGATACAACAAATGCTGTATGTGCCTATGTATACCCTCCTCTTCAATACACATGCGTAATTGAAATTTAACACACACAAAATTAACCGAACATTAACATTTGGTCTATCTCTTTCAAATTTATTAAAAGTACATATATCTGTCAATTTCATAGGAGAGTAAAACACTCGTAGGCAGATTTATTTGAACATAATTTGATAAATAGTAAAATAAATCAACTCTCGCTATGACAACAAAATCAACGAATTTGACAATTCATAAGTAATTCAGAAGTAATTTAATTTACTGTCACTTACAAAATGATTTATTCAGTAACTTGAAAAGCTCAAACTGTGTTAATTTATGCAGAAACTAAATCTATCTCTCGAACAAGGAGAATATTTAGAAGAAAATTTGGTGAAAATCCCCCTTCTGTGAATATTATTAAAAAGTGGCACGTAAAATTTAGCGAAACTGGTTGCATGGCGCACCTAAAAAAACCAAGAAACGTTGATGCTCTTTTTGAAAAGTTGTTGTCTATTAATGAAGTGCTGCAAGCTAACAGTTACAGAATTTCGATTAGAAAGATTGCTGGAATTTTAGACATTTCCAAAAGTGGCGTGCAAAGGTATCTAAAAATTTTAAAACTGACTCCATATAAAATTCAGACCTACCAAAAATTGTACCCGTCAGATTATGAAAAACGACTAAGAGTATGCGAGACCTTACTAGATTTATTCAGAAATTAACCTAATACGTTATTAATCATGTCTGATGAAGAAATCTCTTACAATAGTGGAATGTGTAACAAACAAAATTGCAGAATATGGGGTTCTGAAAACCCCACTTCTTTTAATGAATTTGAAAGAGATAGTCAAAAAGTTAACGTTTGGTGTGAGTTGTCCCCTAGAAAAAGCTATAGTCCTTTTTTCTTTACGAAACCAATTGTGACAGGTACAAATTACACGGATATGTTGGAACAGTTTTTTTATCCACAATTAGTTCAAGATGGAATTAGAGACATCGTTTACTTTCAACAAGATGGCGCACCACCTCATTTTTCAATGATACCACGAGATTCGTTAAATAATTTTTTTAATCAAAAGTGGATAGGTCGAGCTGGACCGATTGAGTGGTCACCGCGATCTCCTGATCTAACTGACCCAGATTTTTTTCTCTGAGGATATGTGAAGGATAAATGCTACAGTCGTAGGCCTAACAATGTAGAAGAACTAAAAGATAACATTAGGAACATTATCGAAAATATTCCGCCAGATATGTTAGAAAAATCGTTTGAAAATTTAAAATTTCGCTTGCGTATGTACATTGAACAAGAGGGTAGACACATACAGCATTTATTGTAACTTTTTAAAAATCTCACCATTGAACAATTTTCTGCGTGTGGTTGACCTAGAAGAGAATAAAAAATGGTTAAGATTGGGTGAAAAACTTGAATAAAACAGTTATAGTACTTACGTTAAATGAACGACTGTAAATATAGACAATTTATAAATTGCACATAATTGGAAACTTCATCATGTCTCTTCAGGTTAAAAAAATCTTAATCACTGTATATAATATAAGAGTAATATTAGACGGCGACACCAAAACTTTATAATATATATTTATAGATATTGCCACTATAAAATTTTTAGGTTCCTACACAATTTTTTTGGAATAGTTTGACACTTGATAAGTAGTTGTCGTTACAGTCATTTAATTTAGAATTTAATATGTTTGAACCTATTTAAAAATGTCAATAAAGTATTATAACGTAAGGGTTTTTTTCAGTTTTAAAAGGATTCGACAAATTTAAA